AACAACAAATTTAAAAATAAACTCATTTCCAAAGCTCATGTTTGAGAAAAAGAAACAACCTCACAGTATATTGTTAGTGTGCAGACCTGTGTTGGTTTTAGATACCCCCATGTATACGGAAGAAGAGAGTGTGCACATAAACAAGGGCATCGGGTAGCTGTTTTCTGGAAGGACACACAGGAAACCATTGATCACAGTCACTACTAGGGTGCGGCTTAAGAAGTAAGCTTACATTTGTCCTAAACTCTTCTGGACACTTTTATTTTTTACCAAGTGCATAATTTTTCCTGAAATCCTGGTTTTAAATGAATGAAAATGTTTCTCCGCCTCACACAAAATGCTGTGCTGAGCAAACGCTTGGAGGGGAGGGCGCCACCTCCAAACACCTGTCTTGTCCAATGCTTCCATTGTATGCCCCCATCCTGGGCCTGGCTAAGACCTCAGAACTTCCCACCTGCATCCTCATGCCACAGCGTGTGCCTTCCAATATCCTGTCCACACTAGCCCTAGAAAGAGCTTTCTAGTACCCAGATCTGACCTCTCCCTCCCCTGCTCAAACACCACCCCCTGGCTCCCCATTACCCTTCGGGTAAAGTTGACCATTAAAACTTCTCTCTCCCTCTGTCTCTGTCGTCTCTCCGCAGACCTTTGCCAGCCTGTCTCCTTGACCTAGAGCACTGTTTCCCAACTGCACTCAAATGTCTACTGACCATCACTCAGGGACTCAGCCGAGACACTTTTTAACCCCCAGTCCTACTTCTCTTCCTCTCAACTCTGTTCACGCTCCTGTGGGCTGGGAATGTCCTCATGGGGGACTGATCCCCCACCAGACTGGGAGCACCTGAAAGGCACATCCCTGGCCTGGGTCATTCCCAGGTCTCCAGAGCACAAAAAAAGTGCTGGGCACAGAACTGGGGGTGGGAAGGCAGCGTGGGAGTGTTTGCTACATGGAGGCTGGGTGGGTGAGTGACCCGGGTGTTCTGGACAGGAGACGGAAGACTTTTACCTCTGGGTCTCCTTTGTGAATCCCTGGACTGGACAGTCGGGTAGGAATTAGGGCACAGAGGAACAAACTCAGCGAGTGAAGCTGTTTAAAGCAATGATATTTCACGGAGAAAAGAAAGGGAGTGGAGACGAAGTTCATTAATGATCACGTGCTGAGTGGCATCATTAGCCCTCACAGATCATTACTAATTCTCTCAGCAACCCCAGTCTTTCTGTCCTCCAAACGTGCAATCATTCCCCTGATAGCCAACTGAGTCCCAAGTCCTGCCTCTGGGCTCTGCTCCAGTTACCACTAAGAAATACCAGTAGAATCAAGAAATACAACTTCTCTCCTCCCCACCTGGGCAGCAGAACCAAGGAGAGGGGCTCAGGAATGGCCACGAGGACCTGCACTCACCATTCAATCTCTTTGGGCTTGCGGTCCCTCAGCAGCTCTTGCACCTCCTGCCGGCAGTGCTCCTGGTATTCTGGGTGCCTCGCAAGGTTGTTCAAGACCCAGGAGAGGCCACTGGCCATGGTGTCATGGCCTGAGGTGCAAGAAGGTTGACCTGGGTCTCTGAGGTGCTTCAGCACCAGAGGGGTGGAAAGTGCCCTGACATGGAGGCCCTCAGGGAGGATGGGAGGGATGGAGTGATCAGGGTCCACCCACCGCATCCCTGGAATGGAGAAACCCCTACCCCCACTGTAGTCCCACACTGGGACCCTCACCCGCAGACATGAAGGTATCAGCCTCCGCTCTTATGTCCTCATCTGACAACTGCTTTCCATCTTCATCCTGCAGAGAAGGCAAAACCTAACAAATCACACTAGCTCTGAGACTCCTGGGTCTAACCTGAGACAGTCTCTGAAGATGCATCCTCCTCCCAGAAACCCAAACCCACCCTGCACTCCTAGATCTCTCCTGGACACCATAGCCAGAGCCCTCGCCCGGTGGGCTTCCTCTGTGACTGCCTTGCCCCCTCTTTTATCCCTGTTGTGAGGAATCAGTGATCCATGAATAGTTTTATGTTCCTCCATAATGAGGACTTTTGGAGAACAAATTACTGGCAACCTGGTTTCAGGATGTTTAAATGGCAATTTGTCTTGGATCTTAGAAATTAAGTGTTGTTACAAAGATATTTGCTCACCTCCAGGATGATAAACACAGAGAATCTTATCTCCCCTGAAGGCATTTTTCTTATAAACCCATAGTCATTGCCATCTCACTGGAGAGTAGTTTATACTCCAGAAGAAAGCTCCCCCTCTCTCTCTCTCTCTCTCTCTCTCTCTCTCTCTCTCTGTCTCTCTCTCTGGAAGGAAGAAGGCACAGATGTGCGAGCTGTTGTCTATGAGCTCCAAGACTCATAATGTGGGGGCCCCTCTGCTGCGGTGGAAATTCTGGTGCAGTAAGAAGTAAAAACAGTGCATTGCCCTAGGAGCAAATTGGGAGTGGGGAGTCGGCACTGCAATCCAACTCTGGCTGCTGCCATTGCTGTGAATAATAAATAGGCTGCTCTGATCCAGGGGTCAGGCGCATGTGTCAGCTTAGATATAGACATAGACAGAGACACAGATACATGGATACACGTAACAACGTGGCAAACTAACATAATAACTTGTAAATGAAGTAAAATCTGAGGCTCGTCATAGTTTCAGACGTAGCAGTCCCCTGCTGGCTGCCCTTCATAGACTCCTCCCCAAAACGTATCTCTGACTGCTCCCTTTCTGACTCAAATAATTTCCATGCTCCCCAGAGCCCACTGGGTCAAGTCCAAGTTCTTCGATTTGACATTTGACATGAAGCTCCCCATTCTATCTCTTGAGTTCAGATTTCAGGAAGCCCACCTTGCTCAGCAGGAGCACATCAATGAAGTCCAAAGTCTTGGTCTTGGCTTTGGCCTTGAGGAAGTCATCAAGACCTTGACTGGGCAGGGTGCGGCGTCTCTCCTGGATGACGGCATCTGTGAAGTCGTGCACCAGGCGGCAGGCCTGGCGGAAGCGCTGCCCATCGCGGGTAAGATAGTACAGGAAGTCCATGTACGAGAGGATGTCCTGCATTCTTTTTTGTATGAGGGCACTGAGCTCTACGATGGCGGTGATGTATTCACTGGGCTTCCTGCAGGATGAGGGAATGCGGAGGAAACAGCTCAACACACCTGAATCCCCAGGAGCATTTCCCACCAGCAGGCAGGATCTACCTCTCATCAGGAAACTGGGTCTCCAGAAACAGACGGCCCCACAGATACACAGAGGGCATCAGCCATGAGACTTGGCTCTCCAAACCCTCTTCGCTGCCTGCATCCACCTCTGTGAGCTGCCTACGTGCCACTAGGCAGCCAGAGCATAGTACAGCTTGGACATCGTGCCCCTCCTCCTCTCTATCTCCTGCCCAGTATCCCTTCCTGCCCCTTGTCCTTCCCAAAACTGTGCACACAGCTCAGATGTTATCAGATTCCACCTGGTCCATGGCCCAGCCCTGACCCTAGCCTCCTATATGCAAAGTCACTTCTACTATCTGCTGCACATGCTCTACTCCTCCCAACCTCCCTGCCTTCACCCAGACATTTCTACCTACCCATCCCTGCCCTTCAAAGTCCAGCTGTGAGATACCTCCTCCAGAACAGCTCTTGTGGTTGTCCTCAGTCCTCTCTCGCCCACCTACCCCCTTGGGTCCACAGTTCAAGTTCCCAGGCCTTGGGCAAGGACTCACTCCTGACAATGGCTGTCGAAGCTGAAGATGCATTTCTGCAGACTGTCCAAGGTCATGAGGCTGATGTGCTCAAACATGTCCAGACGGACACTGCCCTCTGAGGCCAGGCGCTGCCACTTGGCCTGGACAGAGAAGGGGACAGAGCTGGGGCTGGGCCTTGGCTCTTTGGAGCCCCTCCCCAACCCCAAACATCAGGATGAACACATTCAGATCCAGCCTCTTGGTCCTCAGGCCCAGGTAGCCATCTCCAGGGAGGACACGGCTTGGGTGAAAGCAGAAGCTTTTACTATTAGGAGATGAAGACCCCATGGCTGGGAACAAGAGACCTGAGTTCATGTTTCAGCTCTACATCCTATGCTGAGTGTGCCCTTGGGCAACCCAGTGCCTTCCCTTAGGTCCCACCTGTCAAATCTTCAGGAAGATTTAAGTTGACCTGCTTTGGTGCCAGATAAACCGGGTTAGAATCCCTGCTCCACCACCCCAGGACTCACTACATGGGTAGACTTGAGCAGCCCCTCTAATCTTTCTGGACAGCAGTTTCCTCTTCTGTAATGGGGTAAGAAGGCACTCTAACTCACAGGTGCATTAAAATTAAATTGGAGATTTTGTATCATGTCACTGGCACAAGGAATCATTTCTGTCACATAGTGAGTGCTCAAAAATGTTGGCTTTCCACATCTTTATTGTTATAAATGGACTGCAAAAATATCCCTATGTTGGAAGAAGTAGTCTTCCTTGGGCCCTGAGCATCCTTGCTGGGCATGTCAAGAATGCAAAGACCTGTGATCTCAACCTGCGTCATTTCTCCACCCTGTGTTTGAAGAGAAGAACCTTGATGGATAAGGTAATGATTCCCCTGGACACCTACCAGGCTGTGTCTGCTTGCTGTAAAATCAGATTCCCTAAGCCTAGTGCTCCTCCCCTGCACCACAATGGACTCCAGGAACAGGCATCGATAGGATCCTGCCTGTGTCACCCACGTGGGATTGAGCGGCTTGGAAAAAGGAGGCAAACCAAGAAGAAGCACGTGCTGTTGTGCCGTGAGTTGTCAACCACCCTTTGTCTCTGACCCTGGAGTCTCGTGTCTGTGGCAGAATCCATGGAAAAGTAACACGCTAACTTATAACCTTGCGAGTAAGAAAAAAATCTTAGGCAGTTCAAAAACTCCATATCCTACCTGGAAACCATTCTTCTAAGTGAATTATCAGAAAAATGGAAAAGCAAACACCACATGTACTCACCATTAAAATGGGACTAATGGATCAACACTTACTTGCACACATGGAAATAACATTCATCGGAAATCCACCGGGTGGAAGGGGGCAGGAGGGGATGGGTGATTCACACCTAACGGGTACAATGCCCACTACCTGGGTGCTGAACACACTTACAAGTTTGACTCAAACGGTACTAAAGAAATTTTTGTAACTAAAATGTTTGTACCCCTGTAATAATCTTAAATAAAAATACAAAATATACAGACAAATCCGTAACCCCATTCTCCACGTCTCCCTCTGCCCACACCCTTTGCAGTGTGACGTTTCAGCAACTTGCATTAAGAGATGGAGCCTATTTTATCCATTTGATTCTGTGCCAGACCTTTGACTTTTTTTGGCCAATACGATGTGGAAAATGATGACACAATAACTCTACTGAGCTCCAAGAGGCATTGCAGCCTCCTCTCACTCCCTGGGAGCTCTGTCCCTGCCGTGGGGACAGCCGGGGATCCCTTCTGGAGGGAGAGAATCGCGTGGAGGAAAGTCCAGCTGTCCCTGCTGAGGCCATCCTAGATCAGCCTGATGCCGGCCGAGCCCCACACAGGTGAGAGACTGAGCCAGGATCAGCAATGCTGCCACCTGGCCCACAGCTGATCACACACCCTGAGTGACCCCTTCCACAGCCACAAGAACCAGTCCACTGTCCCGCAGACTTATTAGCAATCACGAGCACATTGATTAAACCGATGAGTTTGGAGGTTTGTTCGCAGCAGTAGCTGCTGTGTAATCTTCATCATTGCTCTCTTGAGCTCACAGGGAGAGAAACAGAGAAACTGACACTGTCTGAGCACCTGCTATGTGCCAGGGACAGGACACCATTACATCATCTTGACCTCCTTTTAAGTAGGGATTATTACACCCATTTTACAGATGAGGAAAGCAAGTCTCAGAGAGGAAGAATGACCAAGCCACCCAGCAGAGCCAGAACTCCAGATTAGACCGTCTGTGGTCCCTCCACCCCAAGGCTTCAGCTAGGACCCCGGTGTCAAGGGACTTACGTGCATTATGCTCACACTGTCGTTGAAAATCTTCACATAGGGCTTCAGGATGTTGAAATGGAAGGCGGGAGTCAGCATGCGACGGTGGCGGCTCCACTTGTCACCGGCACTCAGAAGGAGCCCCTCCCCTAGTCGGGCAGCCAAGGGCAGTGAGCAAAGGCAGCACCTTGTCCTGGCCCCACAAGGCTGTCCCCGCCCCACTCGCCTGCAATTACTCACCCAGCCAGGGCTTTATGAAGCTGAAGAAGATATCGTCCTTCCGTACAATGATGGCTGACATCCATGAGGACAATCGGGGACATGGAGGGGGCAGTGCACAGGGTTGGGGTGGGAGTGGAGGCTCCCAGCCAGGGGTCTGCACTCCCCCCATCAAGCCCAGCATAGCAGGAAGGGGGTCAAGTGCAGATGGAGCAGGGAGGATGGGGAAGGGAGGGGCCCAGAGCAGCCTGCAGCAGACACTAGAGCAACACACACCCTCACAGGGCAGAGCACACACCATCATGCCTTGACATGGCCCCTACATGCCTCAACATGTTTGCGACAGCCGAACACAGCTCAACAACCTACAAAACAGCTTCCTAAGAACCTAGGATACCCTGTCTGCGCAGAACTCTCTGACGTCTCCTGACAGGGATCTCAGACATGTGACCTGACCCCGATGTGTTACAGGTCCTGACACAGCCACGACACACATGACAAACCCTAAATCACCCAACATGGCATGAATTTGACCTGAAATGGTCTGACATTAGCTCAGCATGTCCCACGGTTGGGCCCCAGATAGGATTTAAATATAATCTCATTAATGTCCCAGGTGTGGACCAGGTGTGAGCCAGACTGTGCCCCAGGAGTGATCTGAACATACCTTAAGACCTGCCTGAGACAAGACTCGTATCTCAGACAGCTCACGGAGGGGCCCTGGGTCCCAGACCTCAGACAAGCCCCAAATATGGCCCAGATGTGACAAGCAGGAGAAAAAGCAAATCTCAAACATTTCAGACAGGAACCAGATAGGCCGCAGCATATTCCAAGTGACCTTGGCTACAGCTGAGCCCCAGACCTGGTGATCGCCATGATTCCAGGTGTAAACCAGGCGTAACCAGGTGTAACCAGGTGTAACAGGTACCACCTGGACCCAGGTGTAAATATACACGTGACAAGATGTGTCCATACAGCAGACGTCACAGAGACATGCTCAGACATGAGCCAACAGGACCAGAGGTCAGACAGAGGTCAGATAGGTCAGTCCAGGGGAGACAGAGGCAGTGTCTTCTCCGCTGCAGCCCCTCCTGTCTGGACTCGGGTCCCCAGACCGGCTGGAGGCAGCACAGAGACCGCAGCAGTGGGCGAGCTGTGGCCAATGCAGTGTCCGTCTGAGCAAAGAGCACGGGCTTGATGCAGGTCGGTGGAGGATGCGGACGACCACGTCCCACGGCCTCACCCGCCAGCAGCAACATCCCCAAAGGTGCTGGCCAGGCCCTGCGTGTACAGGAGACCGTCCTGCAAGCCCCGAGTCTGGAGAAGAGCAGACAGAACCCAATTCACAGTCTTCCAGGCTGCCAGGGAGAAGGACCTGCCAGGTAGAGATGCAGCCCCGAGCCCTGGGGAGTCCGTCCCGCGTCTCATCAACCTCTGCGCTGAGCCTCCGCCTTGGCATCCCCCCGCCACTCTCAAACACAGCAACCAGGAGCCTCAGTGACAGGACAGGAAAAGCCATTCCCCGTTTGGATCCCTTTGTGGTTTGAATGTCTGCCCCTCGGAAACTCACGTTGAACGTGGATCCCCACGTGGCGGAACTGAGAGATGGGGCCTTCAAGAGGCGGCTGGATCCTGTCGGGTCTGCCCTCCTGAACACACTCATCCATTGAGGGGTTAATAAATTAATCTATTAGTGGGTTAATGGATTAATGGGTTGTCACGAGAGTGGGAGTGGTGGCTTTATAAGAAGAGGAAGGCAGACCTGAGCAAGCACACTCAGTCCCCTGCCCTGCGGTGCCTTCTGCCATGCTCTGACACAGCACACGGCCCTCGCTAGAAGCTGAGCAGATAGAACAGCTCAACCTCGAACTTCCCAGCCTCCAGAACTGTGAGTATAAATTTCTTTTCTTCATAAATCACCTAGTGTCAGCTATTGAGTTACAGCAACAGATGAACTAAGAGAGATCGCAAATGCCACTTCACCTGGGCTGTCTCTCATCCCATTTTCCAGATTAAGAAACTAACACTCTGAATGACGAAGCCCCTCACCCACGAACTCCCAGATAGTCTGGGGCACACCTGAGACCTGAGCCTGGCTCTGTCTGAATCCAGGGCCTGAGTTCTTATCATCAAACTCCTTTGTGCCCAGAAAGAATAGCTCTGGAAGCCCCACACCTGCCAAGACTGGGCAATCAGAGTCACAGTGACTAGGTGAGGAATTGGTCCTGTGACCCAGGCTAGGACAATCACAGTGAATCTCAGGCTACTTATGGAAGGTCTGAGGAAAAGAGGAGATGTCCGAAGCTTCTGCAACCCCTCAGGGACACCACGAGGAAAGGGTGGCCTTGCAAGAAAAAGTGATACGGTAAAAGATAAAATGAAGAGGGACACAGATGGATGAAGAGATTCAGACCTGGATCCAGCCTTGCCTGAAGACCACCCTCTCTGGACTTTATGGTCAACAGATTTCTTTTCTTTCCTGAGATGACATGAGGGTCAGTTTCCATCACTCACAACTGAAAGAGATGCCAGAAGCCAGAGAGGCCCAGGGACCTGCCCAGAATCACTCAGCATTTTAGCGTCAGAGCCATAGCCTCTGTGGGATGCTGCCTGTTTCCCTGCTCAGCCGGGCCTGTCCAAGGAAGGGAGGGCAGAGGGCAAGGGAAGGCCACCAGGCTGCAGTGGGGCTCCTTGGAGATTCCTGGGGCCTGGAGCAGAAGAGCAATGAACTTAGGGCAGACGAGCCACCGGGTGGGGTAGAAGGAGCTGACCCACAGGGGTGGCACTCATGCAAGCGGCCCAGGTCCTCCACCAGCTGCCAGTTCTCCTCATTGTCCTGCACTTGGGCACATGCGAGGCTGACAGCAGGCCTGGCAGGGAGCCTGGAACACTAATGCTGTCACTGAGTCACCCTTCCTGCACTTAAAAAGTTCCTCCTCATCAATCCAGACCCAGCTCCAGCAACTCCTCTTGCAGGAAGCCTTCCAGCCTACCCCAGCAGAAACATAGTTCTATTCTGAGCTGTTATAGTGCATCTTCCTCTAGTCCGCTCCTGACCACATGAGGTTGGGGAGTTCCCCCAGGACAAGGCCTTGAACTGACAGGCCTCCTGGGGCCCCAGTGGTGCCCAGGACACCAGGGCAGGGAGCAGAGGACAGTGCAGGGAGGAGACACTGAGGTGGGAGTGAGTGAGTACATGCAGGGAAGAGGAAGGTGGCTGAGAAAAGGGGATGGGAGGGGCTGGGGTCCTGCAGAGGCCACACAGAAGCATGGGAGAGAAGGCCTGGAAGCTCTTGGATGCGCCACGGCGCCCACCACCACTAGCTCTGCATGGTACCTGAGGCATTCAGGACAGGTCGGATGATGTCGGGGTGGCAAACATTGATGACGGGGAGGGTGGGGCCCAGCCAGAACTTAAAGCCCTGGGGGTAGGTGGCCACCAGCTGATTCACTTCCCTCAAACTCTCCTCTGTGTTCGTGACCTGCAAGCAAGACAGGGTCGTCACCTCCTGTGATGGTTAATTCCAGGCGCCAACATGACTGGGCTAAGGGTTGCCCAGATAGCTGGTAAATATAATTTCTGGGTGCATCAGTCAGGGTGTTTCCAGAAGAGATGAGGAGTTGAATGGGTAAACTGAGGAAGGAAGATCTGCCCTCCCCAGTGTGGCAGGCACCATCCAACCCACTGAGGGCCCAGAGAGAATAAAAAGGCAGAGGAGGGGACTTGGCTCTGTCTCCCGGAGCTGGGACTTCCGCCTTCTCTGCCCTTGGACATCCGAGCTCCAGCAGCTCAGGCCTTCGGACTCGGACCGAGCAACAGCTCCGGCCCCCTGGGTCTCCAGCTTGTAGTCGGCACAGGGTGGGACTTCCCAGCCTCCGCAGTCCCCTGAGCCAGTTCTCATGGTAAATCCCCTCTTTTCTGTCCAGACCTCTACCAGATCTGTGTGCCCCGTGGTTCTGTGTCTCTGCGGAACACTGACTAACACACGTCCCCAGGAGTGGCCACCGCAGGTCCCCCGCAGCCTCTGGAGGTGGTGCAGCCTCTGCAGTGAACGGCGTGTCTGGATTCTGCAGAGATGGAGGGGATCTCTGCTTCCTCCTGCTCCTTCTCTCCTGGGCCTGTCTCCAAACGCCACAGGTGCGTCCCAGACAGAGGGAGGGGACGCGATCTCTGCCCACACACGGGCCACCTTGGCTCCAGAGGAAGGGTTTTCTTGTCCTGGGAGTGGTTCTGGCCGGGGGACAGCCATATGGGGACGTCCCCACAGAAAGGGTTGTTGGCGGCAGTGTGACCTCAGGACGTGTCCCTAAGGCAGGTTTCCATGTGCCCTCATGTCCTGGCTGGTGCACGTGGGCTTCAGTTCAGTTCCTCCCCTGGGGAAGGGTCTGCACCCTGGGGACCTTCCAGCCTCAGCAGACCCCAGGGAGCAGAGGGGAGCTCTAACTGTCCATGTTGACCATGGCTCCCACCTGTGAGCACCTTCTGCGCATCAATCTCTGCATAGTGCATCTTGAGAGCTCTGCACTGAGCCTAAGGACACGCCCATCGCCCCTGCCATTGCAAATGAACCCACTGTGGCCACATCCCCCAAAGGAGAGACCAGGTCCAAGTCAGAGGGCAAGGTGTGGGGAGAGGGGGTTGGGAAAGGCTCCTGAGAGGGGAAGCGAGTGGCAACTTTTATCCAGGTTGGGCAACAGCACCGATTGGGACATCTTAGTGCGGAAGAGCAGGGTAAGAGGAAGGTGCCCAGGAAGGGCAGGGGTGGGACACTTTCCCCACCTGTCCTGTGTCCCAGCTGTGCCCGTGTGTGTTTGGGAGGGTGGGGGAGTCACAGCCCAGAGAGGCACAGACACAGGACACGGGCCAGGCAGGGAGCAAACCCTGGACACTGCCCCTCAGGTGGCCTCAAGTCCCGCGGTGGAGAATTGGGAACACCAGGGGTCCCTGCTCTGTGCAGCCCTCCCCGGGAGCCCTCACGGTGCACCAATGTGGGAAGACAGGCAGGAAAAGGGTGCTGAGTGGGCTGGGGTGGGAGGACAAGGAGGGGACAGAGGCCTGGGACGGCACAGCAGAGCAGTGAGGCAGTGAGCAGAGGAGTGAGTGAGCCGCCTCCCTCGCTTCTCTGCTATCCCAGACCCCAGCCCACCTCCACCCCCAGCGCCCTGAGCCCCTTCCTGTCCTGGAGAAGTCCACCTGCCCTGACACCCCAGACCTGTCCTGCTGCCACACTCACCAAGTCCAGGTGACCCCAAAACCAGTTTGTTTTGAGAGGCTTTGGGAAACGTCGGAGGCGGTGGCAGGTGTCATAGAAGGCGTAGGTCCACGCCAGGATGCGGGCCAGGAGCCAGGAGGCCCCGACCAGCAGCAGCAGCAGCCACGGGCAGGCTGCCAGGGGCCCCAGGCCCAGCCAGGACAGGCTCAGCTGTGGCATCCTGCAGGGCAGACAGGTGCAGGGGGGATCCTGAGGCCCAGGAGAGGGAAGGGGGCTCCGGGACCAGGGCAGAGGGGGAGGGAAGGGGAGGGCTCAGAGATGGGTAAAGAATGCCTTAGAGCTGAAGTCCAGAAAGGCCCAGGTCAACCTGCAGCCAACTGGCTTGCAGCTGTGTAGTAAGCACCCAGAAAGGGACAGACAGAGGCTGATGACAGTCAGAAAGGCCCAGCCTGAATTGCAGGGAGGCTGCCAGGGCTCAGTTTCCAGGAAACCACCATTCCCAGGGCCACATCCCTGGAGGCTCCCCATCTTGGGCAGCCCCCCCTCACCCAGGCTGGGACCCTCCAGGCCCACCACCACAGCCTGGCACCTTCTCTCAGGAGCAGCTTGTCCACACAACCTCCTCTTCGCCCTGCTGGGCGGTCTTTGCCCTGTACCCTGATGAAGGAAAGGTTGAGGGAGGCAGGGCGGGGCTGGGCCAGCCAATCCCTGCAGGCAGGGCTGCCTCCTCCCAGCCTGGGCAGGGGACCAAATCATGGCGTGGGGAGGGAGCTGGCTTCAGAGCGATCATCTGGGGATGACACGGCCGAGGCACTGGATCCTCAAGTCTCAGCACCTCACCTGTGGGGTGAGGGGGCAAGTCAGGGGTGACCAAAGGGACCCAGAGCCCCACGGTTTGCACACCAGGTGCAGCTGGTAAAGGCATGAAGGTGAGAGTTCAGGTGCCAGGCGAGCATGGCCAGGCCAGGCCTTGTCCCCGATCGTCTCCCGAGCTCCTGTAGGGCATCATGCACCATTTCTCGGGGCAGAATTAGGAGGCTTGGAGATGAAAGCCCAGGGGCCGAGGCTGCGCAGTCTGGCGGGAGTTCGAGTCCTGCCTGGAGGCAGCCCAGGCCCTGGGTTGACACATGACTGCTAGGAACAGAAACAAACAATCCAGCCTTGCTGGCGATTGTTCCAGTCAGATTGCAGAGATAAAGGGCCCAGCTGCTGGCCGGACATGGTGGCCAACGCCTGTAATCCTAGCACTCCGGGAGGCCCAGGCAGGAGGATCGCTTGAGCCCAGGGGTTTGAGGTTGCTGTGAGCTACGCTGACACCACTGCATTCTAGCCTGTGTGACAGCAAGGGCAAACCTAGAGGCTGGACTCAGTGTCCAAGGACAGAGGGGAGGCACTGGGGGTGAGGCTCAGAGGGGCCGTGAGCAGACGGGGTCCAGGCAGGGAGGGCAGAGCCAGGAGAACCTGTGTGGAGTCCTCGGGCTGCCCTGCCCTTGCTCTGAGTGTGGGCAGTGGCAGCCGTGCTGGGCTCAGTCTTCCCATCTGGGAAATGGGATATCAGATGAGGTCCTCGTTGGGAGACAGAGGATGGGTCTACAGAGTTGGGAGACCCAAAAAGAGAAAGTGAAGGGAAGGCACTGGCAAGTAGCCCTTGAGCCTCTGCGGGCCAGGGCTCTGCTCTGCGCAAGAGACTGTAAAGTCCTTCTACTGTGTGGACTACGTAACGTGCACCCACTGTGTGCTCCACATAAAGTTCAGCAGTGTGCTGGCACTCCACATACATCCTGTCTACTGTGTGCCAGGTGCTCTATGGAAAGCAAACATTTTTTAGCACAGTAATTTAAATAAAGTGTACCTACTGTGTGCCGGGTGTTCTATGTAAACCATGCCTACGGTGTGCGAGATGCTCTACATAGAGCATGTGTACTACGTGTCTTGTGATCCACATAAAGTGCACCCACCGTGTGCCAAGCACTCTACATTAATCCTGTCTACTGTGTCAGGTGCTCTACATAAAACATGCCTGCTATGTGTGCCAAATACTCTACAGAAAGTGTGCCTTCTTTGTGTCAGATGCTCACCTGCATCCCAATGGACAATGCATTTCCACCCCGCTGCCCTCAACTCTCTGGCACAGCTCTGGACATTGATGGAGAGACCCGAGCAATGTCCTCCAGAGGAGGGAAGATGCCCATTTAGCAGAAGAGCAAACTGAGGCTGAGAGAGGGCGAGTCTCGAGCCCCAGTTGCAGAGCTCATAGGAACCCAGGTCTGTCAGACTGTCAAGCCTACACCCTTTCCCTCTGCCGTGCTACTCTGCTCCCATTCACTGGGTACAAGGCCATATTAATCCAGGGACGTCTATAATAGCGGAACATCAGTCAGTGTGGTGGCCCCGGAGGGGAAATATCCTGAGGCCCTTGTATCACCACCTGCCTCCTCCTCCCACACCCAGGACGCTCCACCCAACAGACCTAGTGCCATCCCCGCCCTCGGCTCTCCCTGAAATCCAATCAGAATTGCCCCGTGGGGTGGTCTCAGGTGCAGGAGGGCTGGGAGGGTGGGGCTCCCAGCAGAGCTGCCGAGCAGGAGGGCGGGAAAGGACAGTCCTGACGCTGGCAGGATGTTGGGGAGACTCCGAACCTCCTCCGCCCCCGTCCAGCTCAGTCAGCCAGAGGATTTGGGCAGGTGGTCCCGGAGCCCCCTCCTCAGGTGGTGGGGTGTGCCCCCTCCTGAATCTCCTCCTCCTCCAGCGGGGAAGACCTCACCTGCTGGCAGGTTCCTCGGCTTCAGGGTCTGGGGCAAATGCAGAGTCTGACAAACCAGGCAGGGTCCTGGAGACACAGAAGAAAGAGCCCCGGGTGGCCAGAGGGGCTCAGCTGACTACAAGACCTACTATGTGCCTGGGCTGGGCAGGCAGCCTAGAGCAGGAATGGCGGCCTCCACCCTTCACCAGCACAAGTCACTGAGCCTGTTTTAAGTCCTTTAATTATATTCACCATCGTTTTTGCCATTTTACAAATGAGGAATAGAGTCTGCAAGGTATTTGTGTGACTACCCGCAGTCACAAAGCTGGGGAGCCAGGCTGTGCCCCGCCACCCAGCCTCGCCTCGTGCACCCTCCACCACTGGGCTGCGCTCATTGGTGTCTGTAAACTGCCATTTCCGCAGAACTCACCTCTCAGGACTGTGGTGATAATTAAAAGAGACAAAGTATGTAAACTGCATAAGACAGAGCAAGGGCTTAGTAAATGCTACTCGCTGTTACTGATGTTGCTGCTGGTGCCGTGTGAGCTGGACATGGGGTTTGGACTGGGCCCTGCAGGGGTCAGAGGTGTAGACCTTGCGCTGTCTTGAAGAAGCGCCCTGCAGGTCCAGCCTGTTCTCACCATCTGGTCTCTTTGGCTGTCGGTAATGACTCGGGGAGCACCCTCCTGGGCACGGGGAGCCTCGGCCTGAATCCAGAAGGGTTTTCCATGGAGAAGTAGCAACAGGACGCCTTGAACACTTGCCAGGTGTTCAGCACTGCTCACAGCTGGATTCTTGGGGAAGACTTCAGCTGTTTTGGCAGCTGGTGGCTGGTCAGTGCATGGATTCTACCTCCTACCCAATGAAGGGATGAGCCGTGCACCAGCAAGCTACTGCATCCCTGGCAGTCTCTGCTGGTATGCCCCCCAGGATGGAGAGCTCACCACACACACACACACACACACACACACACACACACACATACACACACACACACACACACACTAATGGTCCATTCCTTTGAAGAACATTAGAAGGCAGATCCTGTATGACAGTGGCCTCAAACGTAACGGCGATGAAGAGGGGTTTGTTTAAAATACACCTTCCTTGTTGTGTCTTCACCTGTCAAGAGGGGTGAGATATGATACCAGTCAAGACCGTAGGTGCAGAAACTCACGTGTAGCCTGTGACGTTTTCTCAGAATTGGGTGGAGAGTGAATGAATGGATAAGCTCCTAGTCGTCATATTTGTGTAAATAGACCCTGGCATGAATAGTATTTCAGCCTGGGCTACAGCTGTTAATGTACATAGAGCTATTTGTATGTTTACATCTCACTTGTGTGATATCCCCCCCTGTTTTTACAAGTTACCCTCCCAGGTCTTCTGGTATTACTGCACTGTTCTTTGGCCTAGTCGCTGTTCCTGCGGAGGTTTTGTTTTCACTCCCTTCCTTAGCTGGATTGTTTTCAGCCTAAGGAACAAGGAGCTGAAGAATGCCATCAGCGAAAGCTTCCGTGGAAAATTCTGCGCCCTACTCTCTCGATGGCCAGTTAGGTGGTGAAATGTGACAGGAGGGCTGGGGATCACATTGTCTGTTTCCGTAGGACTGCTGTAAGGATGCAGGTGTGTGAAACACCCACGTCAATGGGTGTCCGATACATACTAGCTATTGGTCCCCTCTTCCTGCTTAGGCTCAAGCGATCATCACCCTTTATCTCATTAGCTGTGCCTGTAAAGATGTTTTCTGTCTATGGGCAGGTGGGGATTATCACATGGATGTGTCTGGGGGCTCATGCACAGGATTCTTCTTGCATGGGGAAGCAAAGAAAGATTTTACTTTCCCCTAATATAAGAAAAAGCAAGAATGGCATCACGATAATAATAAATGCTACTAACGGTTGCACCTTTTCTACGTATCAGACACTGTGACCAGTGTTTTATAAATATTATCCTTTTAATTAGCAGAAATGTACAAAGGAAAATAAACTATTTGTCTCAGAGAAAAATGGTTTAATATTTATAGCTCTTCTCACTTTCTTTGGGAGAGATATCTCCTAAGTGTGTGTATGGGGAACATGATACGTTGAGTTGAGTGAAAAGTGGGGAGAGAGAGAGAGTGAGCAGGTGTAAAGGCGTAAGCTAGTGGGAAGAGAGTTCTTTAAATTTTAAAGAGAGTTCTTTTAAATTGTTTGATCTGTATGAGAAATGGAATAAAATTCCCCACAATCTGGGGAAAGTGAGGGAAGAGGAGGAGGAGGGTGGTGGCTGGGCTTTTGTGGAGGAGGGAGGGGAA